GAGCTGGGTGGCTGGAGGCCAGACTGAGAGGCCCTGGGGAGGTGAGCTAGGCTCTTACCCAGCCCTAGCGGGTCGCGACGCTGCAGGCGTTCCAGGAGGTGGTCGCCGCAACTCGGTCGCCGAGGTAGGAGTGGCCGGCCACCTGTTTTGGGATTTACCTTGGGTGGGGGAGAGGCGGAGGCGCGCCCCGAGATTGGCGGAGGCGGGGTCTGGGAGGGAGTGGAGGCGCAGATTAAGGGTGACGGTAGATGGCTTGGAATCTGAGGGCCGGAAGCACAGTCCGAGGTTTGGACGGGAGAAGAGGCGGGATGATCCAGTGGAGGGACCCTGAAGCTGAGAATGGAGTGTTTGGAGAAGCGAGAGAAGCTAGGGAGGAACTTTTGGGGCAGCCGATCTGAAGATAAGAGCAATTTGAGTCTTCCCGCCGGTCTGAATTCGGGGCTTCATAGTGTTGTGGGTCCCGAACATTTGGAGAAAACAGAAGCAGAGTGGAAGAACCTTTTTGACGCCAAGATGCCACGGCAGAGAGGGGGTGTCGGGGAGAGTTCAGTGTTCGGGTCTTGGAGGCAAACAGGGAGTTTGGAAATGAAGTCGAGTGGCGTTTAGAAGTAAGAAAAATGGAGATAGTTTGGGGGGGGTCCTCATTAAAGTTACCTTGTCTCCCCATCGGGGAAGTTGAGAGAACGTTTGTCGGGCTTGAGCGATAGGTTAGGGCTTAGGTCTGTGTACCCGAGGGCAGTTTGGGAAGAATCTCATATTTTCTGGGCTCTTAGGGAACCGGGAGAAAGCAGATTTAGAGCCGGAGTAAGTTGGGGGAGGGGTGTTCCGGGCGTGGAGCTCAGACCCGTGGCCCGGGAGGCAACAGAGGGCGGGGCTCGGCAGGCGGCCGGCAGCTGGACGTCCGGGTTCCCTACCCCCACCATCTGGGCCCCCTGTGCGCATGCCCTAAGGGAGGGCGGGGAGTTCTAGACTCTCAGCGAGCGGAGCCCTCTGGGAATTGTAGTGCGTACTCGAAGCATGTGCGTATATTTCGCGGCTGTAGGTCCACATTTCCCAGAAGCCTCAGGGCCAAGCTGGGGCGTTCCTGGGTGCCGAATGGAGAGGCCCAGAGGAGGGCGGAGCCTGTGGTAGTCTAACGAATGGTTGGATCGGGCGGGGCTTGGCGTTTTTTCTACCAAGTTTTCTTATGGGGCGCCCTTTGAGGGGAGCCGAAGGCTTGGAAGGAAGGAATGAGGATGGCTCCTTTTCGTGCTTTGGGAGCTCTCCCAGTCAATTAAAGAAGAGAGCATGGACAAAAATACCCTCTGTAAAAGAAAGGAAGGTCTTTTCCTGTAAAGAAGTGCCTCCACGAATAGGTGCTCTTAACAGGGCCCCAGGTGGCACAGATATATTAGGCGCTCAATAAATAAAACTACTGAATGAATAAAAGGCAATTAATATGTGTTCATTAGTCACTTGCTGTGTGCCGTGCCCGGGCATCTCCTTGGCAATGCTGTGCGAAGTATTTTTTCCAATCCCCATTTTACAGATGAAACAGGCCCAGATAGTAGATGTCATGTCGCTGGTCAAGATCACACAGCTGAGCAGTGCCCAAGGCAGAATTCAAACCCAGCACCCCTCCTTCTGGCCGAGGTCTCTGTACTCCACACCTGTCTCTTAGGTGATGTGGTTGAAGAAATGAGTTTTATGGAGGAAGAGTTTTAAGACTCCAGGGACTTGAGTTAGGATCCTTACTTTGCAAATGAGATGGAATCTCGTGGATGTAAATTCAGTATTTGAGCCCACAAAAGGCAAAAAAGGGCTTTAAAAGTCCACCTATGTACTCCACATTTTGCTTTTGTTTTTTCAGTGCTGAAGATCAAATGTAGACCTTCACGTTTTATATCCCCTCCTTTTTTTGTTAATTGTTTGTAGTACTGGGGATTGAACCCAAGGCCTTGGTATTGACCTACAACCCAGTCCTTTTTTTATTATTATGTTTCGGGGTATTTTTTGGTACCGGGGATGAACTCAGGTCCTTTGAACTTGGAAGGCGGGCAGCAGAACCACTGAGCTAAATCCCCAGCCCTTTATTTTTATTTTGAGACAAGCTCTTTCTAGGTTACTGAGTTCCCCAGGCTGGGTTTGAACTTGTGATGCTGAGATTACAGGTGTGCACCACTGCACCTGGCTGTATCTTGTTTTCTTAATCACATGAATTTACTCGACACCTCCGACTGTCTTCATTTTATATAGATGAATAAACAGAGGGTCTTGTAGTTAAAAATCACCCACAGCTATACAGCCTGGCCTAAGAAAATGTGAATGACCTTGTGTCCCACGTCCCCTCCTGTCTCCCTAGAACATCATGGTGGGAGGCTTGAAGAGGAAACACTCCGATTTGGAAGAGGAGGAGGAGGAAGATGGGAAGTGGGACTGGAGCCCAACAGGCCTTCGGAACTACCAGCAAGCCCTGCTCCGAATCTCCCTAGACAAAGTCCAGCAGCGCAGCCTGGGTCCCCGAGCACCCAGCCTCCGCAGACACGTCCTCATCCACAACACCCTGCAGCAGCTCCAGGCCTCCATACGCCTGGCTCCAGCACCTGTCTTGCCTCCTGAGCCCCTCTTCTTGGGCGAGGAGGATTTCTCCCTGTCTGCCACCATTGGCTCCATCCTCAGGGAGCTGGAGACCTCCATGGATGAGACAGAGCCACCTCAGAATCCAGTGGCTCCCCCAGGCCTCCAGAATGAAGTGTTGCCTCAGCCTGATCCAGTTTTCTTAGAAGCTCTGAGCTCCCGGTACCTGGGGGATTCAGGCCTGGATGACTTCTTTCTGGACATTGACACTTCTGCGGTGGAAAAGGAGCCTGCCCTGGCCCCCCCAGAGCCCCCACGCAGCCTCTTCTGTGCCCCAGGGTCCTGGGAGTGGAATGAACTGGATCACATCATGGAAATCATTCTGGGGTCCTGAACTGTCTTTGGGCGGGGTCCTTTCTCACATCAGCCGTGTTAGGCTAGATCCCGGCTGCAGCTTGTGAGAGAGAGAGAGAGAGAGAGAGAGAGAGAGAGAGTGAGTGAGAGAGAGTGAGAGTGTGTGTGTGTGTGTGTATGTGTGTTGGTGGGGGCTCTAGTGACTGGCCGCCCCCATTCCTCCCATTTCAGGGTTCCACAAACTGTCTTGCATGTGTGTGTCTGGTTACCCCAGCCTTCTGTGAAGGTGGATCTTCCTGATATAATTTATCTGTTCCAGATGCCTTAAGGGCTCCATTCCTGGGAGTCTGCGTTCTCACATCTGCCTTTTCCTTCCAGTGACCACTGGGGCCTCAGGGAAGATGACACTGGGCCTGTCAGAGGTTGACAGGGATGTGCTGCCAGGTTGCTCTGGAAACCCAGGCTCTTGTCTCTTGAGGGAATGGGAGGGGCTGGTCTCCTCCCCACAAGTTGAACCCCACTTCCTTGGCAGGACCCCAGTCCCAGCAGCCTCCTGATTCATAACCAGGCCGGACCACGTGCAATAGGGTGGAAACCAAACTGCTCCATGCCGCATTATTTAAAAGAAAGGCAGGGTCTGTGGGGGCTTTTGTAAGTTTTTTAAAATAAAAGTGTTTTGGAAGGAGTGATGTGCATTAAGTGGATAACGTTCACTGGGACGATGGGAGGGACTTGCTGAGTTTCCTAGACATCTGCACCCTTTCCCTGCTGAAGAAGGGGCAGGTAGAAACACTTAAACACCGCCGGACATGACAGTTATTGAGTCTTCATTAAGAGTCCTGTCTGCCGGATGTGGTGGCACACACCTATAAATCCCAGCACCTAGGGCCGGGGATTTAGCTCAGTGGTTCCACCGCCTGCCTTGCAAGCGCAAGGACCCGAGTTTGATTCCCCGTGTACCAAATAAATGAATAAATAAATAAATCCCAGCACCAGCAACACAGTGAGTGGTTTTTTTTTTGTTTTTTTTTGTTTTTTTTTTTGGTATTAATCAAACTGAGGGCCTTTCATTTGCCAGGCAGGCACTGTATTGCTGAGCTACATCCCTGGCCCTACACAGTGAGTTTAAAGCCACCCTGAACCATGTAGCAAGACACAGTCTCAAAAACGCCAGAAAAAAGGGCCTAACAAGTGCAAGGTCCCGAATTCTATCCCCAGTACCAAAAAACAGAAAAAGAAGAATCCTGTCTGAACCCCAATACGGCGGGGCAGGCCTGTGATCCCAGCATTCTGGGAGGCTGAAGCCCAGTGAGACCCTGTCTCAAAAGAGAAAAGGACTGGGGATAGGGAGGTAGCTTTGTACAATGAGTTCAATCCCTAGTGAGGAAAAAGCACAAAGAGGCTTGCAATCAAGATGGACGTTCAAGATCCCAACAATGAATGTAACTGTACTGTATACCTAAAATGTACCAATAAACTCAGGAAAAGATGGGACGTCAGTTGGATCACGTCTTCCTCTTTTTTTTTTTTTTTTTTTTAAGGGTGGCAACTTTTATTAGCTGTACAAGGAGAAACAGGCTCTGCGTAGCAAGTTTCAGTGAAGGAAAAGAAGTACACCCTGCAGCATGAGGTAGGCCACATGCAAAAGCCAAAAGTGGCCCCTCCGGCAATTTCTCATCCCATTCAAAATTCCAACTGCAAAAAAAAAAATTCCAACTGCAAACTAGGTGTGGTGGTGCAAGTCTGTGATCCCAGCAATTAGGAGGCTGAGGCAGGAGGATTGATGGCCATGAGTTCGAGGCCAGCCTGGGCTCCATACTGGGTTCAAGGCCAGCCTAAACTGCATAGTGAGACCCTGCCTCAAGAAACAAACTCCAACTGCACCAAGGCCTGAGTTACTTTTGGTCCTGACAACTTCCCCAGCTCTGGCTCCTGTTCTCCAGGCAACTCTAGCCTTGCTGCTCCAGGACTCAACTCCTTTCCACCCTAGGGCCTTTGCATTTGCTGCAAAGTCTGCCCATTTCCCTCATAGCTTCAAGGTGCTCAGAGGCACCACGACTCCATTACATCCTGTTTGATTTTCTTAGCAGCACCCATTCAATCCCAAGTTACTTATTACCTGTTTATGGAGCAGAGGGGTGGCGATGTGCTTTGCCCTACTGTCCCCACCCCACAGTGCCCAGAGTGATACTGTGCACAGGTAGGTGCTCAAAAATTATTTGCTAGAAAAAAATGTACTCCAGACCCTGCAGTGGCCACCCGTCCGTCCCCTCTCTGAACTCACCTTCCATACACACCCTCATTGCTGTGTCCTGCTACCCATCCCCTGCTGTTTGTTCCTTAAGCGCCATCATCTCAGCCTCTGTGACCCGGATGGAGTTATACCTGCCTCATGGGGCTAGATGTGCATCGTACCTAAGGGGCCTTGGTGCACACCAAGGGTGCCTACGGGGCTTGCACAACTTCCTGCCCTCTGTGGGTCTGGCACTCTTCTAGCAGGCAAGCAAATAAGTGGCCTTGTTCTTAAACCAGGCGTGGTGGCGCACACCTGTAATCCCAGCACTCTAGGCCGAAGCAGGAAGATCGCCATGAGTTCAAAACCAGCCTGGGCTACATAGTGAGCTCAAGGCCAGCCTGAATTACATGGTGAGAACCTGTCCCCCCCAAATAAAGAAAACGAAAAGAAACAAGCCGCCTTCTCATGAAGTACCATCATGGCACAAAACTGAAGTAAACAAAAAATAAGTTGAAAAGTACAATCTGTCAGGTGGTGATAAATGATCGGAGAAAAAGAAAGCGGGGTTATGGGGGTGAGATTTGCTATTTATTATTTATTTATTTGGGTTTTTTTTTTTGGTACCGGGGATCAGATTTGGGTCCTTTGTGCTTGCGAGGCAGGCAGCAGAACCGCTGAGCTAAATCCCCGGCCCTAGTTTTGCTATTTAGAAGGGAGGGCTAGAGAAGTCCTCACAGAGAACGTGACATTAGGGAACGACGTGGAGGAGATGAGGCCTGAGCCCCGTGGGTCTCTTGGGAAGAACAGCACAGGCAGAGCAAACAGCCAGTGCAAAGGCCCTGAGGAGCCCAGCGTGTCTGGAGCAGAGAGAGCAAGTCTGGGGGAGAATACCAGGAGATGAGGCCCAGACAGGCAAGGGGCACATTCTGCAGGGTCTAGAGCGGGTCCCTCCAGACACCTTCAGCTTTGCCCTGAGTGAGCCGGAAGCCACACCGGGGTAGAGAGGGATGTGACCTGACTCACCCTTTTCTTAGAATTTTCTGATTTCCCTAAAATAACCAAGAGGGCTGGGTGTGGTGGTGCACGCCTGTAATCCCAGCACTCGGGAGGCTGAGGCAGGAGGATCGCTGTGAGTTCGAGACTAGCCTGGGTGACATAGTTCCAGGTCAGTCTCAACTGCATAGTGAGACCCTGTCTCAAAACAAAACAAAATAATCAAGAGGAGGGGAATGGGGAGCTTGCTAGTACCCCAGTGAGGCCAGTTCGTAGAAGGGCACCCCACTTTCCAGCTCCTTCTCCAGTCGCGCTTGTCAAAGAAGTGGAAAGCCAGGCCCCGCAGAGGGACAGAGTCCACGGTCTCCAGCCCGCCCTCCAGCAACGCTACCGCTGTTGTGGGGGATGGGCCAGGGCGTGGCGCGGGCCGGCCCCGCCCACCTGCCCACC